CCCCCGCCCCCGCCCGGCCCGCCGCCCGCCCCGGTCCAGCCGCCATGCCGCCTGTTCTTTGTTACATTCGCCGGCTGCGGGCACCGTGGGCGATCGGAGTCAAAACCCGGCTGGATTTCCCGGAGCCGCTCCGGGATCGCCCTGCGCGTCGCCAGCCCGCCCGCCGCCGGCCCCGCCGCGGGCCCCGCCGCCCGCTCCCCCAGGCCCGCCCGCTCGGGGCGCGGGGCCGGGGCCGCGCTCGCCCGTGGGCGCGGCGCTGGGGGTCCTCCGCCCCCGGTCCCCGGCCCGCGGTCCCGCCCCCGGGCGCCCTCGTCGCCGACGGTGCCTCGTGATGTCACTCCCCCCCGTCCTGGGCCCAGCCCCCGGGGGTGAATGGGGAGGGTCCCTGGACCCCCAGCTCCTGCGGTTAGCAAGGCAGACCCCAGGATTCGGGCGACGGGGCTCCCCAGCCTCCCCCCGCCGCCGCCCCGCCCCGAGCACCCTGCATCCTGTTTGTGTAAACCCTTGGGTGGCAGAGGCAAGGTAGTGAAATCCGTGGACAGGTGACATGTGCCCGCCCTCGGGGTGGGTGGCTGTGCTGGAAAACGGCGCGCGGGCGCCGCCCTGGCGCGGACAGGTGGACCAGCCGGCCATGTGGCCTCTGGCGAGGGGACGGGTATTCGCGATGAAGGTCAGCTTTGAGAAGACAAGTGAAAACGCATTATGGAAATATCCACCGTGCTGATAGCTATAGTTGTTATGTGTTAATCTCTATTAGCTCTTAAGGTAGTAGATGAGATTTCCTTTTTTTCCACAAAAGCTCAGAAATTGCCCCCCCTGCCCCACCAAGGGTAGATTAAAATGGTAGAAACAAGTGTGTGATCAGAGACACGTGGACCCGTGTACATATTTAAGCGGCCAACCCACAAAAACCACGTTTGCTTAAGCCTCTCTCATAGAATCTGGACTCACCAGATAAATTTGGAAAAACCCAGCTTGGTTCCTGGACGTGTTTTTAAGGACGAAAAGTAAATGAGCAAGTGGTCTTGTGACAGATCTTCAAAGGCAGGAGTGAGAACTCTCCCTGGAGAGTGTAATGATGTAGATACTTGGTTTTTATAAGTTAACCTCCCCCCCCACCCCCGCCCCCACCCAGTACACACAAAACACCACCGTATTTTGTTTCAGACCTGGACATTTTCACGTTTTCCACATTTTCATGGGTCCACTCTGCTTCTCTGGATTTCCTTGACATCACTGCCTTATGGTGAATGGTTAAGAAATAGAACTATAGTTTGAATTTTGAAAGGGAAAGATAGTAAGATTTATCCTGTATAAAGTTTTTTTCTCCTATATCTTTGATTCATATTTTTGCAAAAAAGCTGCCAACAAAGAATACAATATGTTCGATTTTGCAAGCAGAAGGAGTAGTTATTTTTTCCAGAAGACCAATAAATAAATTTAAAAATCACCCCCAATTACAAGGCTAATAGCTTTTCTGGGAACAATTATATTTGAGAAAGAACTCCGTTAGCTTGGGATATACCTCTCGTATATCATTCTTTTGATATCATCGTCTGTGTAGAAGGCCAGGGGAAGAACACTTCTCCCATTTTGCAGATTTAAGGGAGATTGAAGGCAGCTGTTTCTTGCACATGTGATTTGAGAGGCTGAGATTGTGGGCAAGGACTCAAATGCTTTCTCAGCCTCCTTTCCACAGTTGTGACGTATGACAATACCTGTCTTTCATCTCACATGGTTCACGCGTGCGCATGTTTATTGGCCGTCCACCCAGCAGCTTTCACGTGCCGGGCACTGCAAAGGGTGAGAGAGAAGGCCCTGCCTGGTAGACCGAATGCTCTGGAGGGAGGGAGGTGGACAGTGGTTAGAGCATGTAGGAGAAGGCAGGAAGGGTGACAGGTGGAGGTGGGGGATGGGCAGGGGTAGGCACACTTGGGCAGTGGGGACAAGGAAGGTCTGTCTGAGAAGGTGACATTCCAGTGGAAACCAGTGCCGCGAGGCCCTCAGTGGAGATCTGGGGTGAGGGTGTCTGTCACAGGCAGACGTGGCAAGTGCAAAGGCCCTGGGGTGGCAGCAAGCTTTGTGTGGCTGAGTTGGGGTAGCACAGGAGGGTGGCACAGGCTGTACTCTACTCAGAGTTTACCCTGAGAGCCAAGCAGACACCACTGGGGTCTGGGGCAGGGGTCCAAAGAATCTGTGTCTTTTTAGAGAGGACCCCATGGCTACCCAACAAGGTTCCCCTAGAAACAGGGTGGGGGCAGAGGGGAAATGAGGTGACAGGACAAAGCGTATTTCTAGAGTGAGGCAGGCCTTGCTGCTGGTTTGGGTGGGGAATGTACAGGGGGTGACAGGAGGTGTCATTCACTGAGGTGCAGGTGACAGGTGTGCAGGTTGAGGGGTGTTCAGGGAATCAGGACCTGGTAGACCAGCAGCATCTTCAAACTGCCCCTCGGGTGGGAGAAACCCTTGCCCAGGGCCCATGGTCCTGGTCATCACCTTCCTTAAGTGCTCCCTTACTAAGGAAGGGTCCCTCCCACTGTCCAGAAAATGGCGACCCCCCCAGCCCCAGTCTTGGTGTGGGCCGTGGTCAGCTCACAAATATGTGGCTATCACGGTGCATGGGAGACCTCGGCAGGTGGTCGTTGCTAAGTGGCGACTATAACAAAGCTCTTCCGTCCCAACTACTTGTCTGTGGGAGCAGGGTTTCCTGCACTCACATCTGTAAAAACGAAGGGTGGGAACAGAGTTGAATCGAATTCCATGATACGTGACTGGATTGGCGGAAAAGTCCTATTTATCTCATTAAACCCAGCTTCTGTGCTAGGTGACTGCTTACCAGTGTGGGCAGTATTTCCATCTTGATCAGTGGTGTCCCAGTTACTGGAACGATAGCGTAGTCCAGGAGCAATTAGCACAAACTCATGGTCATAGGAAATCAAGACTAATTTGATCTGTATGTGTAAAAGGTGATCAATAATCATTTCAAGCACAAACATAACACACTGGGTTTAACATCTGTGGTGATGGAAACGCACGATGGTAAAGACAGAAGTGCCGTGAGCCTCCTGACAGATGAAGAGCTTGTCCACATGCCTTGTGACCGGATGGCAGTGGGTGTCACGCTGTGGTGTTGCGATTCCAATAGATGTGTTCAGAAGAGCCACACAGCAGTTTTATTTTAAGAAGTTAATATTCATGATATGCTGGAGATTCCGTCCCTTGCAGCTGTTTAAAGTAAGGCTGAGCAGCTTACACTGTCAGCTGAAGGGCAAGAAATAGCATTTTGTAAAACACTTTGGTGGTACTGTCGGCAGAGAGGTCGGTCATGGAACCATGTGTCAGGTGGGCTCAGGGGCCTGGGTGGACTCGGGCATGGGAAGTGATGGCGGGTAAATGCCGGGTCCGGATGGAGAAAGGACCGAAGGGCCGGCCTGGGCTGCCCCACCGTGTGGCGGCTTGAGATGGGAGCACAGAGGGGCCTCGGGAGGAGCAGCGGTTGGGATGGAAAGACCAGGAGACCTCGCAGGAAAGGGTTTCCAGGGGGAGGGGGTGAATGCTGCCTCGGGGATGAAGGGGAGGCAGTCCACAGTGGAGGGCTTTGGTGGAGCCGTGAGGGCAGTTCTTCCCATTCAAGAGAGAAGCCGCCAGAGTCCTTCCCAGGATTTTTGCAATGAGAGGAGACAGAAGTGTGGCATTAGAGCCACAGGTAAAACTCTTTTGTTTTCACGAGTGAGCTCTGTTGAAGGCTGGTGTGAATAATCCAGAAGCATAACTCTGCAGCAGAGACAGGTGTGTAATAAGGGAGGTGCAGGTGGGGCGGGGCCTCCCGGGGAGACGTGGCTGCAGCGTGCCTGTGTGGTGAGTGACAGGTGTGGCCAGGAGGGCTTTGGAGAGGAGGGGCCATTTGGATTAGGTTTTAAAGGTTAGGTAGGAGTTTGGCAGGTGGAGGGAGTTTCTGGAGGAGGAAACAAGAGGAAGGGGTCGTGGAAGCTGGGAGGCTGGTCATGGATGGTTTGGGGTGGTGAGGAACCTTTTGCTGTCATGGGGCAGGGGACAGCTCAGGGTCACAGTGGGGGCCCAGTTGAAGCCTCTCATCCTAATAGCATCTGAGGAAGCCCAACTCTGGATGCTCCCCTGGAGTCTCCCAGAGCCTTTGGGGTCATGTTTCCGCAAACTTACAGAAAATTGAAGCGTGGGCTTGCCAGAGATGACGGCTTTCTTTACCTGAGAGGTGCTGGATGTTAGGGCTCCGTTTGACTTGTTTTCAATGTTCAGCACCATCTGCTTAAGCAGCTTAAGCGCTGAAATATTGCAGGTACCATCAGAAAACCCTCAATAAATGGCCTTCCACCATGATGAGGCCAGAGGCAAATGTTATAATTCGAGTGTCCCTAGATCATGATTCGTGTGTAGGGCCTGCAGGGGATGATGTGCCAGAACTGTCACTCCCTGCTTGCTGTCAGGGGGGAAGGGACCCTACCTGCTGGACAGAGAGTCTGTCTTGGGGAAGGAGGGTTCCCAGTGTTTTGTAACTCAAGGCCTTTGGCCTTTTGTAAGCTTAAAAATATATATGCTAATTAGTTATAGTAAGTTTGCCTTTTATTGTGACCAAAAACATAAGTGCAGTTTGGTGCCATATTAGTCAAGAGGTTTACAAAATCTGTTCTGACCAAGCCGCTTCAATTCTGTTCATTGATCCATTGCTTCCATGCCACCCGCCCCCTCCGCCCCTCTGGGCCCCTTTGTCCCGCACATCTGACTTCTCTGGACTTTGTTCTCTGTGATGTCTCTTTCCACTGTGCTCTCGCCCTTATGCTGAGAACGTGTGAGGATCTTTTCACCACCAAAGCTCCCAGGGTGCCTAGTTTTAAAATATCTTGTCTGTCTCACAAGGCCTATTAAGTAAGAATCAGGCCTCACATTCCCCTCTTTTCTTTTTCTT